ACCATAGAGATCACATACTGTAGAGGTCATACACCATAGAGGTCACACACTGTAGAGTTCATACACCATAGAGGTCACATACTGTAGAGTTCATACACCATAGAGGTCACACACTGTAGAGGTCATACACCATAGAGGTCACACACTGTAGAGGTCATACACCATAGAGGTCACACACTGTAGAGGTCATACACCATAGAGGTCACACACTGTAGAGGTCATACACCATAGACTCATAGAGATCATATACTGTAGAGGTCATACACCATAGAAGTCACACACTATAAAGGTCTGATGTCATGAAGGTCACACACAACACAGTTCACGTAACAGTGCTAACACGTCATCACGTATTGTTGTTTACATCTAAAAAAAAGAGAAATACACAACCACGACTCGTTACCTTGTTCCATGTGTTTGGAGAAGCACTTGGCATAGTAGACCGTCTGTTCACGGGACGTGTAGGCATTCAGATGTGAGCCCATGTTCTCCACCTCTAGCTCCAGATCTGTCTGTGAACGCTTACTCGTGCCCTAACAACAGTCAAACAGCTGTCACCATCATGTATAGAACACGGGAGGTTCGAAAACCTCTTGACTCTCGTCTCTTGTTCCTCAGCTCTATTGTTACTGTCGTACGTGTATGTGTTGATGTACTTTATAGTGCTAAATACAAAATCTGTCCACCTACAACACTGCTTAAACCAATGTAATTCTTGAGTGCAAATGATGCACCTATTTTCACCGTCGTACGTGTACGTGTTGTACTTTAAATAGTGCTAAATAAAAAATAAAAATATTGTTCACCTACAATACTCCCAAACCATTGTAATTCGGAGTGCAAGCTGTGCGCCTATTTATAAAGACATTGCATTATTATCACGGCTCACAGGTTGTGAAATTCACGCGGATTCCCCTCACGCTCTGTCGCTGCGCACGATGGCTCACGCGCGACACACGTACCTTGAATGCCATGTGTTCTAGGAAATGCGCGACGCCATTGTTACGATCGTTTTCGAATCGGCTGCCGGCGTCGATCCACAAACCCACCTGTGAACAATGTTGCAGATTACTACAAGATTGTGAGAGGAAGCACCCTCACATTGCTCGCCATAATACTATGCAATATGTCACTTTACTGATTGATTGATTATTGATTTTTAAATGCATTTTTGAGCTTGTAGGATTAGTGAATGGTTGGAAGGGTTTTTAAACTTTTTTAACACTTCTGAATGTTTCTGATTACGTAACGATTAGGGTTAGGGTTATGAAATGGGTTAATGTTATTGTTAGGCATAGGCTGATGACGATGACTTATGGACATAAGTAGAATCGAACCATCTCTGGCACACGATCACCAATCTCCCCGACAATGTTTCAGATTGCATTTCACTGCTTTTAAGGATCTAGATGTGTTTTCAGCCTTTGGTCACACTCTTTCACCTAGATAGCAAACTAACTGTGCGATTATAAAGGTTGATTCATTCATTAGTTAGTCTTTGAGCATTATGCCAAGGTGTGCAAATACTACTAACTACATGATCATACCGTGGACGTGGGGATTCCTGAATCTTCTGTTGCCACTCGTAAGCCGTTCGGCAGTGTGCTGATGCGCGTTTCCGGTATGTTTAGCGCGACTTTATCGCGCGCAGCTGCTGCAACTGCTGTCCCTCTTCTGCACGCCTAATGTGAAAAATTAACAGAACACCCTCTGTCGCTGTCCGCAAAGATGTGACACTATGTCACTAACATTGTTACACACTGAGTGGGGGGTTGATCAAAAGACAAATTAGCTTCTGGCTCGTATCTACCTGCCCCCTGGGCTTCCGTACCAACGGGCTATGAGAATTGTATAACCTCATAACCTCATAAGTGATAATCTTCAAAAGTCCTGGAGACTATAACGAAGATGGAGAGAGTGGATCAAGTCGGTAGATCCACACTGCGGATCGCAGCGGAAAAAGTTGTGAATTTGCTATTTACTAAGGATGAAGGCAGTGAATTCCAATACGGCACAGAGACAACAGCACAAGCTAAACTAAAAAAGGGATCTTAGAAGTTTTGTAACCATTGCCGAAAACAGTGATCCGACGCTCAGATGAGCGGGTGCCCAGCGAACCCCAGGCTTCATTAAAGCAAGAAGAATGCCAATTTTCATCTCACCATGAGTAAATTTTATAGAA